AGCCCCCAACGTTTTGTACAGCACAAGCCTGCAGGGACTGTTCTGGGGCCTGGTTCAGCTGTGAAATGCTGTTCAGATGCTGTGAGAGTTGCTCCTGGTTACTGCAATATTGAGCTTAGCTGGCTGAGTCGTGGAGAAGTGCATCCAGAGTCGCCCGGTGGCCTGAATGCCACAAGCCACCCTGTGCTCCTTCTGCTCCACCGGTGGATCCACACACACCCCCAGCCCACCCCGGTTACAGCAATTGGAATATCTGCTCCTCTCCAGGTTACACTGGTCTGAGGGTGGGGATGGCAATGTTCAACTCTCAAACCAGCTGGAGGTTTGGAGGCCACTGTTCTGTAATCCTTTATCATTGGGAAAGCATCTCCAAGCCTGGGAGTGAAATATGCTGTGTGCCAGCCTGCGTCTCATCTTAACGCTGATGCGAGTGGCAAAGCAATTGCATTTGGTGGCAGGAGATGGCTGGGCTCCCACCGGTTAAACTCACCTCTCGGACAAACTGGATTTGTGCTCAGGGCCCTAACTAGGTTGCACGCACAGAGCAAACACCAGAGGTACGGGTGGGCTGAGTCTGCGCTGCCAGAAATCAGCCTGTTTCTCCTGCTCCTGGCAACAAAAACTTTGCCCCCCTCCTTGCCTCCTCGTGTGCCTTGTTGCACAGCTCAAAATGACTGCTCGATACGCCTCTGCTCTCGAAAGGTGGGCTGCGGGTTTGAAAAATGTGAGGTTTGGAGGAGCTGTTAATTATGGGATGGGCTGTTGCTTTTTAGATAGTGTCCCTGGTTTACAAGGATAGTTCTGCTGGAAATGGATAAGATTCTTAGGGGGGGTTGTGCTTTATCTGTCATGCAGAGGGTGCTGCTGAAGTTTATCTCTGCGCAGCTATCCTTGCTGTAATTATTCATTACTGAACCATTGCTTCAAGGTGGGGCTAGTTTTACAGTTTTTTAGAACATTTTTTCCCCTTAATGTTATGTTTTTCCCCAAGAGGGGTTTCCCCTTCCCCCGCTTGAAAAACCAAATAGGATTATCATTATAGACTTTTTTCAAAATTCAAGGTAGTTTTTCAAACGTGCAATTTTCAGACCGTCTTTGTTTAAAAAGTCTAATCTAAAATATGCAGTTTTAATAAGGTTTAAATTCTCTTTACTCATATGAATTTTATCACCTGAGTGAAAACCCGAAGCAAAGCTGAGACTTTCCCAACTAGAATAAGAAGGGTTTTGCATACAGGCAATTCAGTTTTGCTTCTTGGTTTCAACCAGAGAGATCTGTCCCAAAACTGTCACCAGTATCATCAGTACGGTTTTGACTGAGCAATGCTTTTAGCTGACATCTGCAATGGATGAAAGAGGGAGCGAATGAAGTTCATCATCCATCGGAGAGGCATAAAATGTCTTTATAGATGACGTTCCTGGTGCATAGGACTGTATGATTATATGGCCTGTGTATTTCAAATTCTGCTGGGAGAGCTTTGCAGCTTAGAGATAATGGTAGTGGCGGCTCACTCGGACCTACCCATTGAGTTGCTTTGTGCGCTTAATGTTATTTATTTGCTTATCTGGTGCTGATGAAATTTCATCGGCCCTATTGTAATGGGTTGAAATCTCGGCCCTGCCAGGCCTTGGAGGGCAAGCTGTAGGAAATGCTTCCTGAGCCGCACGGGAGGGGCAGCGCTTGTGAGAAAGGCATCTGTTGAGTGGGCATTTCTTCAGCTAAAAGCACGATGCTGTGGGAACCATGTGGGAGCTGGATCCCCCTCCCTGCCCCTTGGCTCGTGCCAGTTTGAGGAGTTTTTGTTCTTCTCCACCACGGGCTGCTGCACACAGCGGCTCAGGCACAGAGTGACTCTGCTCCTCTGCCTGCCGTGCTGCAGACACGGTGGGAGGACATTGTGCTTCATCTGCTGCGAGGTGCTTCTGCTCTCCACAGCAAACCATGCATCAGCCCCCCAAATCACCGTGTCCAAATGAATGAGCATCCAGGGCATTTCGTAAGCTGCAGTCAGATTTCAGGTGCTCTCAGGGTCCCATTTTTTTGATGAGTCTTTGTGGTTTTTGGTCGTGCTTTTTTCCCTGTAACAGAAAAGGCAGCTCTTTCTCTCTTGTCTTTGAAAAATTAACGGCTGCATCCTCCCGAGCCTGTCTCAAGTCCTTTAGCTCTGAGACGGCCGAATCCTGCCATGCGTGGAGCTCAGTGGGAACAGGGGCTGTCTCTGCCCGGCTGTGAGCAGCACAGCATTAAAGGCCTCCTTGCAACACTCAGACAGATAGCAAGATCGTCAGCTTCTCTGAAAAAACCCCGGCCGCTTCTTTGTGCTGAAAAGCCCCGGCACTTTCAGGTCGGCGGGAAGCAGGGCGACAGTCAGCCCTGTGACCAGGCCGCCCCGCGTGCCCGCCAGCAGATCCACCGGCCTTTGCTGAATCACGGCTCGCTGCTGCTGTGCCAGGGTTGCACAGATGCTAAATGCTCTATTCAGAGGAGAAGTGGAAGATCTTTGACTGTGTCGGAAGCTGTCCATGGAGCCAGCAGATGAACCTCTGGCGGGGTATGCGAGCTCACTAGCTGTCAAGCTAGGAGTCCTCTCTGGATGGTGTCCCAGGAAATTCTCGTCCAGAGGCAAGAAAGGACTAAACGTATCTTTCCAGGGAGATTGGGGGAGACGCTAATTGCTCTTCTCCAAAAAACAGGTGGGAGGAAGAGAGAAAAGGAGGCAGAATAAGGAAACAGTAAGTCTCATTTAAATCCAGCACAGCACATTTGTGAGTGGTTTGCCTCTGGGTCTGCAGTTGGGAAGCAAAGCTGTTAATATCTGTAGATGTTTAGTGAACTGAGCTGGGCTGGAAGGACTGTTACGGACCACCAGTTGTGAGTGGAGTAGGAACTACTTCTCCCATCCACGTTTTCCTACCGACAAACAGGGCAGTGTGTGGGGAAAACTATACCCAGTGCCGTGTATGTGTTTGGGGCAGAGAGGTCGCTCTTCTGTACATGCACATACACAAACACACACACGAGCAGCGCATTTGTACGTCATTTTACCCTTGTGTTCATGCCCAAGTTGCTTTTGTGGCCTGTACACTAGGTTAATGTTATATTTTAGTATTTCAGTGCTAAGTAGACCTGTAAATAATACCAACCGGCGGCCAGATGAGACCAGGACATAATCAATATGATCCTTTGAGCTCTGGGAGGAGGGCAGCCATATGTCCAAATAATTAGGGGCCACCATTTTTGGGGCAAAAATTAGGTACTTAATTCTTTCTTATTTTATACTTCCATTTTTATGGGTGATTTCCTTTCAGGGCAAGTTTTTGAACTTACTTGGTACAGTTCTGTCAAATGGCTTTGTAGCTGTCTAAGGCAGAAATTAAATTGCATAGTCATCTTGCTAAGGCTTAAAAAAAGCTGGGCGAGAGATCTGGTTACTAGCATTGGAGTTGCTCTTGCGTAGTTCCATATATCCAGTTAATTTATTGCCAGCAAACAAAACCACATGAGTTTGCTTCCTTGCTGCTGGTAACCTGAGCTTCATTGCTGGATTCATTCACTCCTGATGGTCATGGAAAACGTGTGATTACACTAATAGCCAGTTACTAATCACTGCCAATGGCTGTAATTATATCAGCTATTAGGAGGTCAACTAAATGCAATGTCTGTCCAACCAGCATGGAGAATAAGGAGAAACATGGTCCCTGCTTCACAGAGGCGACTGTGAATGACTTCATTTCCTTTTGCAGATAAATGCACGTTAGAAAAATAACTCTGAATTTTAGCACCTTTCTACTTCCACTCCAGTGTCCAGACCTATTTACCGTGCCTTGCTCTATACCATGGTGTTGGCTTTCTGAGCACCGCAAGAAGGATTCAGGGTTAAGCAGCCGTTGTGTTGTTCTCTCAGGCACACAACTAAGCCAACCCTCTTTTCTAAGAGTGCCTGGTCCAAATCCATCTCTGGAGAGTCCTGCTTTACCCCTGTATGTCACTTTTGGATTGCTTTTAAGATCATTATAGCTGTGTATCCCTCCTGGGTGTATCCACAGGGGTAGAAGGTATCCCTTCCTGCAGCCACGTCACACCTCGCCGGCAGACACTTCTGTTGAGAAACTGATTAAAGTGGCAAATGCAGAGTTTGGAGCGTGCAGCAGAAGCACATCTGCACTAAGCATGCTGCTCCCGGTGACCAGCTGTGACAAAACGGTGGCTGAGCAGTGTCCCGTGTGCACCAGGATGGTCATTTTGCTTGGGTTATCTTAAATACCTGTGGAATTTCGTTGTTGCAGCTGGGCAGAAGTTGCCTATATCCTTATTGCAATGGATGCAGTGACTGGCACATGCTTTTGCTTGAACAGGAATAATTAGACCTTCCCTTTGTTCACAAGGAACATTTGCCCCTTTATATGTCCTTTATGCAAATTCCGTGTTTTCCTTTTGGCTCATGCCCATAGGTGCATTTTTTCTGTCCTCTGAGTGTGGATTGCTGTGACCTTCTGTGCTGAGAGCTCGGTGCGGCGCTGCCGAAGAGTGGTGTCTGGCTGGGGCAGCCCTTCTAGATCCCAGTTGGGCAGGTTAGCGCTCCCTTCCCGCTGTCCTCCTCCATTTGATGGCTGTGGACGAAACATGCTCCTGGTGGATTTGGAGGCACTAGCGTTAGATGCTCCAGCGAGTATTTCAGCACTGGTGTGAAACCCAATAGGTAACACATATCTTGAGCTGTGACCTTCCCTGAGCATAATGGTGTGATTTCAGGGCTCATCAGGAAAAGGGAACAAAGTAGGTATCTTCTTATAGTGGCTGAAAAGATGGGTGGCTGTTGCTGGCTGATTGCTTGCAATAGGATGTTTAATGCTCCTGGAAGTTGGCTGACAAACCAAAATTGTCTCGTGGAGCAGTAGATGGGAGCGCACCGTCTGGGCTCCAGATGAAGGCGTGTTGTGTCAGGTTTTGCCTGATGGGTGTTTGGTTTTACTCTCCTCTTCAGGTAACTTTGCTGAGAGATGGCAGAGCAGCGTCAGGACGTCGCCATGATGGAGGATCATGCAGCTGGCCAGGAGAAGCACATCCCATCAGGTGAGCACCTCCGGGAGGAGATGGTGTAAAGGACCTGCCTTGCCCACTGCTGAGAGAATGACCTAAGTGGGGAGAGCAGGGCCAGCGTGCGAGGGGTCCTTGGGGACAGCCAGGAGGAGATGGTACGTGTGTCTGGAAGGTTACCGTGGATCAGCTGGCTGCAGCCACTGGACAGTGGGTAGCCCACAAGATGCTCTGATGTTCATAGTCGTAGCACAACGCTGCTCTTTGATATCATTGCCCAGCGAGAGCAGAACAACCCCCAGTATCCAGACTAGTGATGATCTTATTGCTGCAGCTTTGCAAATATGTGTTTCTGTGTCCACTCCTTAGTTCGCTATAAAAATACAGCACTGCTTTTATTTAGAGACACAGCTCAAGGCTGCTGCTTGCTGCCTGCTTTTCTCACCTGCACAGGGAGATGGGAGAACTGAACAGAGAGCTCTGGGAGCGGTGGCCGTGCAAGAGTCTTTCGCCCCATATGTCAGACCTGCATTTCTCAAGAAGCCTTTCCTTTCTCATTCCACCACGCTCCACAATTGAGCTTGGAAACCCACCTAACGCCAGCAAACCTGGTGGGACTCACTCCTGGCTATGCTCCATATAAACATCATCTTAATTTTCTTTTCTTGAGGTGCTTTGGACACACCTCGCACCAGATAAATGGATTGCCTCTGTCCTGGAGAGAATCCATAGCATCCATTCATCCCGGGTTCTGTAATGCATTTCAGTCTGATAGCTCCTCTCAGCTTGTAGCCTCAGCTTTGCACGTCACAGGTTCCCAGGCATTTTGCTTGTGCTAGTTCGAATCTTCTTTTCCAAGTCATTTTCTCCAGTTGTCATTATTTTATTTGCCCAGACTCCTTGCAGAGAGGAGGCTTGTGTCTCTTGCCCTGCTCTTCCAAAAGATGACTTTTGCAACCAAGTCTTCGCACAGTATGTTATGTGCTACCCCAAGCCCTTTACAAAGACTTGCTGGTTTGCAGTTATTAGAACTAATGCATCATGGAAGCGTTGAGCAGCCTGCTCTGGGAGGGAGGCTAATGGCTCCAGAAATGGCAGAGAGGACGACAGTGACTCAGAAGTTGTACATCTTTTCTGCTTACGTTGCTAAGATCTCCTTTCCTGCTTGTGCCATGCTTTGCTGTTTCTAGCTGTCCGGTTCACTGGGCTTTTCTTTTGCTGATGAGTTTCTGCTTGTTCCTTTTGGTGATGACACTGGTGCTTTTGGTTGGCATTTTCACGCTTTGCTTGCTTATTAGTTCAGGTGTTTTATACTCTTCAATTACAGTTTTTTTGCTGCTGTGGATCTGGGCAATCGGAGTTTGTAACGCACAGGCCATAATTTGTAGCCAAGGACTTGTTTTAAGTATTTGAATGTTTTCCAGGCTATCCCCTTCAGATACCAGTCGATGATGGATCGGATGAGCCTGTTTCTGAAACATCTGACGCTAAGAGCACCCCAACTACGGAAGGTGGGAGCTCTTTGACTTACTGCTTTGAAACCATGATGGATGGGGTCGTGGTAAACCTTGCCGAAAGGCTCGCAGTGCCGTGTTCTGGTGGGGTTTCTCAGGAGGAGTGTCTGCACTCTTGGACAAATGCTCTTCGTTAGTCTCATCACAAGTGATGTTTGCCACTCTGCAGAATGAGATAATGAGCTTTAAAGGTGGAGACTGGGTTGGAAGGCAAGAGAAGGTGAAGTGTTTATTATAGCTCAGGAAGTTGCTTGCAGTTTGTGTCCTGAAAACTTTTTACACAGTGACTGCCATGTCCCGTTAGCTCAGCACAGCCGGGAGCGATCCCATGTTGTGTGTTCCCAGGGCCAGAGGTTTGCATCATTGTGCTCCCCCAAGCTACTGACAGCACGTCCTGGTCGCTGCGTTCCCTTTCAGAGTTGGCTGTACCTCATGGCTTTTTTTTTTGCCCCCTCTGTATTTACATGTTCAGCACGTACATGTATTTACATGTACAGCATGCTTCATGCTGGAATGATGAGAGGGGCAGAGTCTATACATAAAACAAAACTTTGTGCTGATGTAAAGGTCATATTGGTAGGACTCGGGACATGCCTGTGCTGCTCCAGAGTGTTATCTGAATGCCACGTTTATAGAAAGAATCTAATTCTGAAGTGGTCTAGAGACTTCTTCGCTGTTCTAATTAACTGCACCTTTTGTGTTCCTCTGGCTGCTTTAATCTCAAGTATCCGCCTCTTGGAGAATTCAGGTAAAGGCATTAGTTTGCAAAATTTATCTAGAAGAAAGGTGGACAGAGATGCTGACCAGTTCCAGCCCTGTCCCGCTGGAGGTGTGGGCCGACTGATTGTCTGTGAAGCGGCTCTGTTCCTGTGTATGTGGCTCAAGAAATCAGTATGTAAAACGCGGCTGGTGCAGAAGGGGATAGCTATCGTCCCTCTTCCCAGTTGGATCGGGATTGTCATGACGAGCAGACATCCCTCTGGTAGATAGAACCAGGTATCTGCCTGTCTCAGAGCTGCCCAGAGTGCGACGCAGTCGCAGTGCTCAGGTGGTTTATGAAGGTATCTGATGGGAGCTGTTCTTTCCTGCTCCAGACCAGTGATGTCCCCATGCAGATAGCATTGCTGTGCATGCAGATCAGGCACCAGTGGCTGTCTTCAGCTGTGCATTTTCAGAGAGTGTTTATGGTAAAGCCTTCAGCTGCATAAGGAGTACGCTGGAGATGCGTGGTTTGTGTGGCAGAGGGGACAGCTCATGGTGTCCCTGCGATACTGGCTTTGCTATGTCATGCTCAGTTGTCTCTCTGCACAAGCACTGGCCTAAGGGAGGGAGTCGGGTGCTTTTCTGAGCAAAAAGTCCTTCAGGCGTGTCCTGGCCTCCACAGGATTTTGCCACTCAACGGCTATGTGAAAGCTGCGTTGTTTTTCAGATGCCACAGCACCTTTAGTGGAGGAAGGAGACCACGAGGATCAGGGTGGTGTCGAACAGCACGGGGAGATCCCAGAAGGAACCACAGGTGAGGGAGACCAAGGTGCAGTTTCATCTCTTGATGCAGACAGAGCAGAGAGCTGGACTGGTTAGTGCTTAAAAATAACACTGCAAAACCTCTCGCAGGCATGCTTTGCTCCTGATGCGTGCTTCTTTCTTCTCCACGGCCTGCAGAAATAATTCCTAGCTTGCAATTGTCCTCTTGCCTTCCCCATCCTGGGTGAAACTTGCAGCCTTTTCTTCTCTCTTTCTCAGCTCCACATCTGACAGTCTTTCTATCTGGTGTCTCTGTGGTGGCTTCGCCTCCCATCTCCAGGCTAAGCGCTTACCTGCAGATCCTGGTCATCTCTGCCCCTCTGCCAGCAGCCCCGCTTTGCTGGTGAGGCAAGGCGGTCACCGCAGGACCTTGCTGCTTGTCTCACTGGTGCTCTCGCTCAGCCCAGCCCATGCGGTTGTCTTTGAAGCGGCAGGTGAAAACCAGGCCACTGCAGCAGTTCTGTGGCTGCCGGCGTGTTTTAAGGATAATGCAGAGGAAGTGAAGTGGCTAATGCAGCCTGAATGCTCTGTGGGGAATCACTGCACCTGGGCCTGGTTTTCCAGGGAGGGATGGGGATCTTTCAGAGGCAGAGTAAGAAGGGAGTGAGCTGCAGCGGTGCTGTGCGTGTACAAGAGGGCAGGAGCTCCTGGGAGAGTCAGTTCTGTATGTGAAAAATGGGTATGTGTCCCCTGTGCGGTAGCCACTGGCTTTTCCTGGAAGCATCAGGCAGGACCTGAGAAAGGTGATGGGTGGAAATGGGCTTCTGCCAATGCCCGAACACCGAAACAAGCCCACAGCACACTCCCTTGGGCGGCCAAATTGTCTATCCTGCATCCAGTCCCCAGGCTGCTGGTGGAGCCCTGGGCTGACACGCAGAGTGGCTCGCCTGCTAGCGAGGATGCTCAGTGTCTGGTTCAACATCTGACTGTACCAGGGAGCCAGGAAGAAGCAGTGTCCCCTGCACTCTTTGGAAAAAAATGGGGAAAACAGAGAAAGTCCTAGTTTGACTGTAGAACTGTGACATACAAATATAATTGATTAAGCTGGTTTGAAAGTAGTCATATAATAAGTTGAAAAAGTTCTGATAGAGACAAACCATCATTGCTGTGAAGAAAATTGTGCCTCTCTAATGTACCAGTATTCCTGATGTGTCAGGTTTATATCAGACTCATTTACTGGTGTCAAATAGCCTCGGCAGAGTTATTACAGTAAGCTAGGTAGCAGACACCAAGATGGTAGGGCTCAGGTAAGAGTTAGACATTCACGTGAGTGCTGCTGGCAACGTAAACAGTAGGTGGGGGTAGAAGAGGGGATATAAATCCACAAGTTTCCCTGCTCCTTAACAGCCTGTTTTCTGCACCTCTGCCTGAAGGAGCTTGTACTAACCTGCCCCCCAGGATGTGCGAGTTGGTGAAACACTCCTCCAGTCTGGTACAGCACAGGCTGAATAGACCTACCTAGGTCCATCGTCGGTGTGGGTTGATTGCCTTTCTGATACTGCCCTGCTCATAGTAGAGTGCTGATGGGCAGAATCAGCAAGAAGGTAAATAAATTTTCCAGACCTATGCTTAAACTTAATTCTTGTTTTGATCATGTTTTTCCCCTTCTTTCTCTGAACTGGGACCAGCTGAAGAGGCAGGCGTAGGAGCCACTCCCAACCTGGAGGACCACGCCGCAGGAGACGCAGCTCAAGGTTAGTGAATCATCTGTCACTGGGGTCCAGTTATCGCTGCCCACATGTGCGGCTGGTTGCTAGTGGCTTGGGAATTTTCTTCCGTAATGCAGATGCTCTGCACTGTATGAGCAGTTGCGCAGCTCTCCCTGTTCCTGACGTACTTTGAATGTTCCAACATACTCATTTCGGGGAACTGCAGCTTTTCATGCACCGGATTTCTCTCTCAGATGGCTGAAGCCCTGGTGCTTGTTTGTCCAGTTGCAAATGGGCTAGAAAAGGTAATAAACAGAGCCGGGGTGGTGCAGTTAGCCGGGAGGAACTGCTCAGCATTGAACAGAGTCAGTTTTGGGCCCTGTGTGTCACACGTGAAATAAGCGAATTGTTTAATTACTGTGTCTCTTTTTAACATAAAACATGTCTCAAACCTACTCACTGATGCCCTGACTTCAACATTAAGGGTGTTTTTTTCTCATCCCAGTCTTAGGGAAGGTGACTGACAAGGCCCGGCACAGTGGGCAGTGAGCGTTTTTAGAGCATTAACTGTGCATCTGCTCATATGAGCCAAGAAATTATCCAGGGACCTCTTGGCTATCTGGGAAACCTCTCTTGACTCTGCTCAGTTCAGACTTGATGGAAAACTTCAGGACGGGACTTTCCCAAAGTACCCAGTGCTAGCTTAATTCTGTGCCCAATGAGGCAGACTTAGGGCTTCAAACTCGCTTTGATATTGCTGTCTTGCTGGCGCTAATACACCATGGTGTGCTGTTTAAAATCTTAGTTAAACCCCATTTTGTAAGGTAGTTTTCTGTGCAGGAGACATAACAAATTCCTCCAGTTGCTTGGGCAGCATCTTTCCTCCTCATGGTTGCATTAGTGCATTTACAGACATCCATGTCTTTTAAAGAAGTAAATAGGTCTTTGCCTTCTCAGCTCAGGGCAGAATTCAGGTCATCTTTGCTTTCCACACACGGATGAGCACAGTTAAGTGCAGTCTGCTCCCTGCAATTAAAATAAAACCTTTGCTTGCCTGTCCAGTGGTTCTTGGACTAGCAACTCTTCTGTATTTAAAACAGTGGCGCCACTACAAGAAAGAAATCGAGAGTGTTGGCAGGAGGGGGGTGCAGTTCTCACTTCTGTCTGCCCTGTTCAGTCTGGTTCTAGCTGCTGTTTCTCACCAGATTTTTAATAAGACCTTTCTGTACTGTCCTGGGATCTTTCAGCTGTCAGATACGGGGACATACAGCTAGCTGGAGCTCTGATATAACCTATACACGACATTTCTAGGTTCTTATGTAAATGGTTACTTCTCTGAAAGCAGACTTGTAATATAATGTGCTGCTTCCTTTTAATGGTTCTCTTTGATTCGGAGGAAACTGTGATTATCCATACACACACAATCTTGGATATCTCCTTACTAGCTACCTTCATTTTTCCTGTTGTGGGATTTCAAAAAATGATCTTCGCAGTGAAGATGGAGCATGTTAAAATGCTTTTGGAGTCTCAGATGGAGAAGTGTCTTCTGATTCACAGTTTGTGCCGTGCTGGCATTCCGCCAGCTCTTGACCTTGTGCTGCACGTTTGCCTCAGAACTCCCGACATGTCCTGGAGTATGGAAGTACGACTAATGAACTGGCTGTCCACATCTCTGCACCGGCGGTCGTTAATGGTCATGCTGTTCGTTTTGTGGAAGAAATGAGCCAGGACGGTCTGCTGGCTACTGCATAAACATCCTTCAAATCCCTGTAGTTATAAATGGTGTTTCTTGATGTCACATTTCAAATATTACCTGCCGATAGATGCCAATTTAAGATTTCTTTTAAACAACAATTTCAGAGGTGTTTGTGTGGTAGTTTCACTTAACCATTATATTCTCTTAAAATGGTGAGAACATTGATAAAAGACGGAGTCAGCCTTGACTACTTCTTTTCTTGTTTTAATCTTGTTTGTTAATCTAACAAAGCAACAATCGACATCTCAGTACTGAAGTGCTCTGATCTAGGCTCTTTAGTTTACCTGATCAGTGCTCAAAAAGACCAAAGAGTATTTGAAGCTGGACAAACTCATAAGGTAAGATGCACATTCTTCCTAGGGCAGTTGACTTTAAAACAGTTTACGTATGTTCAGGGTGAATTCTCCATTGCTCAGTGCATCTTTGCTTCAGTTGAATGAATTTCTAACAGAAAAGCTCCAGCTCAACTAGAATATATGGCTTAATGCAGCGATTGTTGAATGAAATTGTAAAGGTCTGCATCATGCATGAGATCAGCAACAGAACAGAATTCTGCCTTTTACCCCCCCAAAAAGAGATCTGTGTCTCTGTGACCTTAAGTTTGGGTTTATAAATGCCACACTTTCTACTCTGCCCAAATGGTGGCAGCAGCGCTGGAGCTCTGATTAGCCTCAGTGGGTGCACAGTCCAAAATTGCTGTGGCTGTGTGACTACAGCTGCATTTTTACTTATAGTCCTTTCCACCGAGTCTGTCTGCTCCAGCGGCTGTTGAAATACACAGCAATAAGAGAGGAGACATAGGAGTGCTGTTCCCGAAGCTCATTAGCAATAGAAATGATCTGGAGAACATAGCAGAGATGGTTTGAGCTCTGAGAGGGTGTAACTGGTCCCATGTCTGCGTGAACATCTCCTGCAAGGGAGGAGAGGACTGTAGGGGTTTTGTAAACCTGTGAAGGAGGGGAGGGTGTCTGGCCTGTTTTGTTCAGGCTCTTGAGGCAAGAAGAGGTGGTCACTGACCAGCAAACTGATGGTCCAGTGGTGGTGTTAGATTAGCAAATGGGTGCGTTCTTGGCTTCTGAAAACCTCTATGGCTAAACCAGCTCATAGAGCGTGGGTGTGGCAGATGGTGCTGGTTGGATACCCCAGCCACCTCTGAGAGCGGGTCCAGGGAGGAGTCTGGTCTCCCACGTGCTGTGGCTGTCACTGTTCCTGATTCCCACGGGGATCAGAGTTTCTATAAAGACAAAAGCCACTGTAGAAGTGAGTTGTCTATTCAACGCGGCAGTGTGGGACTTGCTTTTCTCCTCTAGATTGATAGTAGAAATCCTTAGTCTCTCTTCAGCATTACATCACTGACTACGTATTTGACATGCCTGTGCTAATTGTTTGCCCATGCTTCATACCCTGCGTCTTCAACTCCAGGGGAGCCAAGCTCTCCAAAGCTACAGCCTGGCCCTCAGGAGCGTGTGGGAGATGCAATAAAAAGAGAAAGCCAGCCCACAAAGCAGGTAGCTGGGGTTCTTCAGCAGCCTCTTCTGTCACATGAAATGAAGGCTACAACAGCAGCTCCCACTAGAATCGAGGTCACCATCCCAATACCCCTGGATATGTACCAAGACTCCAGAGCATCTGAAGACAGCAGTGAGTTGTGGGATCATCGAGGCAGAGAAGGCATTGGTGTGGATCCAGCGCTGGGAACAGAGCTAGGTCGTGGTGTGCGCCCCGAGGGGTTGGCAGGAGCAGGTGGCACAGATGACTCCCATATTAAAGATGGGCCATCTCCTCTATATACCAGAGGTCCATTAAAAGAAGATGCCAGTGGACAGGAAAGAGATGAGGACCGTGATATTGATGAAACTTCCGAACAGGATTTGCTTTCCCGGGTGGGACAGCATGTTTCACCGGGACCTGAAATGGACTTGTGTCCAGCAACAGCCAAGGCAGCTCTTGAAGAATGTGCCTTTGAAGAAGACAAGTCCAAAGATGTCCTCAGAGACATACCAAGAGAGGCACTTCTTGTTGAAACTCAATCACGTAAAGCAGGAGAGGACCAAGAGGAGAGGAGACAGCCATTGAGGGGGGAAGAAGACACAGATGTCACCCCATCAGAGCCTTCTGAAATCGTCTCCCCAAAAGAAGTGGAGCCCAGGGAGGGAGAAGATTCTGGACCCTTGCTAGAAACAGCCAAACTCCCCGTTGAGTTAAAAGATGACGTGGAAGACAAAGATGCTCCTTTGGAAAAGGCTGTGGCAGATGCAGGAGAACGCCGGATGCGCAAGAAGAAACCTTGTGCCGATGTTGCAGATAAAGCCGTCAGTCGCGTCCCTCTCCTAAAAGGTGTGTGCAACGTTTGCCTGCGCTGAGCTCACGTTGCCAGTGGCTTGCTCACGACAAGGCTGCCTGAACCAGTACTTCAGCTTGCTGCCACCTCTCGAATCCTGCTGCTTGGGAAATGGCCTGGACCTTTGCTGTGAACTGATCTACAAAGCACTGCTGCTTCTCCCTCCCCCTCCTTCCCCCTTTAGTTAATCCTGGATGTCCTGGCATACTTGCCAGATCCTTATGCTTCGGTTTTGCATCCCTTGCATGGTGCTGGCGTGTCCCCAATCATGCTTTGTTCACCTGTTTTTGTTTTGATTTCCTTGGATCTGTGGGGTGGGCACCTTAACTCACACCTGGCACCTTCCCAGAGAAGACGAAGACCGGATGGACGTTGTTCTGGCATGTTGGAGTGGGGCTAACCCGGCGCACGCTGCACCTTGTTCCGGCAAGACACGTGCTATCTGGTTTGCATGTGTCTGCTATCCGGTCCAATAACTCTTTGTATTGGCTTTCCTAAAGAGGAGGGAGGAGGAAAAAGGCAAGTGAGATGGCAAATCTAACCATGGAAAAGGCCCCACGTTGGTCCTGTTTCTTGTACTTTTCCCTTAAATATCCACTACTGACTGCTGTTGGAGGCAAGGTGTGCAGCTAGCTGGATCTTTGTCCACTACAGGGCACGTTTGATGCTCTTACAAAGCATCCTGCTCCGATCCCAGTTCTGGATGGTGTGTCCCTGGGTGGTCCAACGCGATGGCTGTATTTGGGGTGTTCTGCGGGAGCTGCCTGTGTGTGTGGAGGCCTGGCTCTTGGGTGCATCTAACAGCGTGTGTGTCGCTAGGCTGGGAGGGCAGTCGGACCCTGGAGCTGCTGTGTTCATGCCGCACTCTCAGTCTTAGCTGTCTTGGGTGAAGGTGTGAGTTCACCGCCCAATGCACGAGCATCCCTGCCGGCAGAGCAGCTCCTAGACCTTCTCTTTCTCAAGAGCTATTTTCCACCTTTACTGCGGGTCAGAAGGATGTCACTAGGGGCCCTGCTCAGTGGCCAAATGCAGGTTTTGCACTGAGTTGTGTTAAGAAGCTGGGGCAGCAGGACACGCGTTAAAACCCACCGTGTTGTACCTCAGCTCTGGCTGTCCGGGGCCTGGCCTGGGGAAAGCTCTGCCTTTCACCCCAGCACCGCATCCCAAAAGCTGGCTTGGCTGCTTCCATTAGCCTGGAAACGCTGCTCTGGTTTGCGGCAGAGAGAGCGTGCTCTTTGCTGCACGGGGTTCGTGAAGAAATTGTTGATGTAGCTTTTTCCATTGGAGCTAAAGCTCATAACACATTTCTCGTTGTTCACTACCTAATAAGCCAGCGGGAAGCTTCGCACATGTGCTGCAGGGCATTGGCATGGCTTTCTATCGCTAGCATCGGAGCCTGAAAATGATGATGGGTTGGGGATGCATTGCCTAGAGTCAACCAGTTTCTGATTCAATAGGAGGAATTTCTCTAATTTAATTGTCTTTTCCTTCAAAGGCAGAGATACTTTGTGGCTGTTCAGCTCCAGCCTTGCTCCAGTCTGTAGTTTAACTGAATTTGGGAAGAGTAGTGCATCCAGCAGCTCTGGGAGTGGCTGCTGGCATGGGTCAGGGCCATCAGTGCTGGATTAACAACATTGTTCATGTCACTGGGAAAGGGCTGACCCCCCAGGGCAAGTTTCCAAAACACTGGGGAGAATATCAGCAGCTTTTCCTTCCAGATTAGGGAGGAATTAGCTGAAGACTGGGAAAAGGGTCTTTGTTATGAGTGCCTTACAGTACAAACATTCCTTCCTCCCCATTTCTAATCTCCTAATTAGCAATGCTGCAGTCTGTTGTGCCTGTAGACTAATGGGACAAAACACTGAAATATTGTCAGAGTCACTATAAGCTTGATACGAATCAAGTAGGACAACAGCTAAAACCTTAAGACCCTGCAGGGTCTGACCCAGATAAAAGACTCCACTGTCCGCTGCAGAGGCAGAAAGCAGTGTGTCAGAAGAGGTGGAAGTAACAACGGCCAGGTATAAAAATGCTTTGAAAAGCTACCACACTGAACAACAACTTTAAATGAGATCACGGGCAACCTGGTGCTGCTAGGATTGGGGCATCCTTCAATTTTAGTCTTTATATATATGGTTATTAGAACCAATGGGTGTTTTAGAGAGGAAGACTCGTGTTTAGGGTTGAGGAGAACTTTCTGTCCTAAACTGAACAGATGCTACTGGAACTGAGTGCAAATCTGGCCAAAATGGCTCATACAGACGTTGTTGCCTGTGTCTGCTCTAGTGATGACTAATGCACTGTTGCCTATGCGCAGGATAATCTGTTAACCCAGAAAGAATGTGTTTACGATGTGGAAGTATTTCTGCAAGAGATGAGTGACTTTGTAATATTTCCAAGAATAGTATTTAAAAGGAGAGCAGGAACATGGAACACCCACCCAGCCTGCATGTTGCTGTAGTGCAGGCATCGTCATCTCTCAAGAGTTTAATGACCAGTCCCAAGACCTGTAACTGTGTGTATTTCCATTTGTCAGGTCGTATTGACAGCAAAGACAAGGAAGGGACTGAAGCTGAGGAGAAGAAACCGAAGGTAAGCTAAAAAATAAATCCAGAAGTGACATCAACTCACTAAGTTCTGTGCATGTTCCTGACTCCCTCTCCTGCTCTCCTGGACCGCAGTTGTGCCTCTTAGGAAACCTTGCCATTACCTTCCATTCTTCTGTCTGTCTTAAAAGAATGCTTTTATTTTTTCTTCCCTCACCCTGGTTTGGATGGTGCAATCCATAGTGATCTTTGAGGGCGAGGAAGTGAACCAAATCTAAAACAAACATGTTGGGTTGGGTGGGTGGTTAGAGAAATCATTTTCTCAGCCTGAGACCGGAAAGCAGCCAGCTGGCTTTGCTGGGGCAAACCGGTGCGACAGCAAACTCAAAACTGCATTGGGCTGTGCTGGGGACAAGCACCATAACACTGAAAAGAGCAAGACACGTAATTAAAAAATGAAATTAAATAATCTAGGCCTTGCAGATGCTGTGTTCTGGGTGAGGAACAGAGTTTAATAGTGGGTACATTCCAGAAGTTTAAAGGTATCTGTCACACTGCTAATTTGGAGGAGGTTTAGTTCAGCTGGCCATTAGCCTGGTTGGTGCCTGGGTGAGAGAATGGACAAGATCATGGGCAATTTAGTGGGTGAAGAGTTAAAGGTGAGGAATATAATTATTTTCAAACAGTGTGAAATTGGGTCTTTCTGTAGTGAGGTTTGGCAGGGCATTTGACATGGTACCAAGCAGTGGTCTAGATAAAAACCATCGATCCATTATTGATAAAGCAGGTATGGTGGGGCGAGAGACCTGGGAGCAGTCACTGCATCTCCCAGAAACGCTGGTGTTGGTAGTGCTGTACCTGCAGCATCTTTGCCAGTGGAGCACGTAGAGAGTTTGGGAGTAAACAGGGCAGTTCAGATGGTAAAACGTGCCACTGGTGTGGAGGGTGGTGGCAAGGGCAGGCTGTCACGGGGTGACATTTTCCCCAGAAAGGCGCTTGGGTGTTGCTGCACCCTGTGGGAGGAATAGAGCTGAGGTATCCCCGCTTGCTGGTGCAGCCATGGGACCCCAGCAGTGCCCTGGGCCCCGCAGCTCTTGCCCAGCTCTGTGCTGCAGGGAGAGGGCAGTACCAGCCATCGCCTATTCCATACCCAGTTCTGCATTGCACCTTCTAATCCTATTTAATGTCAGTGATCCCCTTTTGTTTCCCTCCCATACTGATTTTTTTTTGTTCCAATTTTATTTTGTTTCCATGTTTAAGAAATCCTCACCTTCCACTGCCAAACCCTCAGGCGGTAGACCCTCCACCCCCCCCCAACGACACACCTCCTCTAGCACAACCCCTTCGAAAACACCCTCCAGCCCTGCTTCCACCTCTAAACGAGTCTCTTCTGTCACATCCCGACCTGCCAGTACAGGAACGCAAGAAATGAAAGCCAAGGTAAGGAAATGGGATGTGAGAGAGGCAAAGCTGCCTTGGGGAATACCTTAAAGCATTCCTGACAGGTCTGACAGTGCTTGGCTGGGCAGCCTCTCCGTGTCCCGTTCAGTGGAGAGGGTGGGATGTGCTTCCCCTTCTCCAGTGGCCAGACTTGGCTCCAGTTTTGGTGTTTGAAGCAACTGGGTCTGTCTCACCAACACATAGGCCCCCTGCTCTGCGTTACAGCAAAAATATCTCATTGCTGCAGGGTGTTACCTGGTCTCCCTGAGGCATTTCCAGGTCCCTTTATGCTCTTTCACGCTTTTCTTTGTTTTGCAGCTTTATGCTGTGTTTTATGGGTGCGTTGGCTATAAACAGCAGATGTATTTGAAATGTGTTGGAGCCAGATCTGCCAGGTGCTACACGGAGAATAGGAAATGCACACACATCCGTGGCTTATTCTGCAATGTAAAAAGTAGCTTGGAGTTTCCCTTTGTGATGTTTAGTCACACAAATACACCCATGGTGAGGGAAAGGGCAGAGATTGCAGGTCGCAGACAATGGGATATGGTTTTCCCATGACAGGGATTGCGATGGCTCTGCTCTGGTTCCCTGCTGCCTTGGGACCAGTCGGCTTGTGAATTTTCACTTGCATGTTTTTCATGAGCTTTTGTACACAGACCAGCATTAGAAAGTCACCAGAAAGAGGATGTGTTAGTTTATAGATTTGAGGAGGCTTTTCTGCAGGATCAGAAGACAATAAATAGCATATTGCTGTTTACGTGCCGTTACAGATTATGTACATGTTACAGTAGTGTGTTACAGGTGGGGATAAAGGAGGTGTTTCTCTGTGTTTGGAGTCTGGCACTGTACTCCTGAATGGAGCCTCTGGTCTAGTCAATGGATTTATTTGTCTTCTGTGCAAAATTTTAGCAGAACAGGGGAAACAAAACGATGAAATTTAGAGAACAAAGGAGTTGAACGTACTTTTTAACGAGGCCTGAATGTGCGATTAATAATGTAGCTGATGCTAAGGGCTCACATGGGAAAGCGGCACAGCTGCTCTGCCAGCCCAGGAGTGACTGCAGCGGTTGTGGCAGGCGCCGTGATGGAAAACGGGGTGTGAAAAGGCACGTCGCAGATGTGTGCGTGTGGAGAAACCCGTGGGAACTCCTGTGGGCTGTCAGGGTAGGAAGCAGGAGGGTCTCATGTGGCTCTGATCCATGAGGGGTGATAGCCCATCCCCGGGCAGATCCCCCCTGCATCAGCCTTTCCCCCTTGCATCCCCAGGGCCCAGAGATGAGAGGCGGCACGAAGACGGCCACGCCGCGGTCTGCAGCAGGGCAGGCTCAGAGGAACTCGACCAATGCCACGCGCATCCCAGCAAAGACGCCCACGGCCCCCAAGACACCTCCCAGCTCTGGTAGGTGATGGCGAGAGCGGCATGCAGCCACCTTCCCATGGTGTCTCTGACTCGAGAGGCTCTGCTTTGGTGGTGCTCCCAGGCTCTCCGTGCAATTATGTGGGGGTAGTGAACAAATTTGCCCCAGTGCGGGCTGGGGTCACACACAGCGCTAAGCAAGGGCACGGCCGGCAGGTTGAGGTCTGCGTGGTGATGCTCAGCCTTGTCACGGGGCTGTGGGTGCAGAGCTAGGGATGATTCCTCTGAAGTGAGCCTTTCTGGGTGCTGCTTTATCTCCTCTGTTCATATAGCCAGTGTGTAGGAGAGGGTAGTTGCTTTATCCCTTTGGGATTTCCTCTAATTTGGAAGGTTTAGGCAGCTCCATTTTTTTAATCCGCCTATTCCTTTTCTCTTGACAATATTTCACAAAGACCAGGGGCAAGAGGATCAATTCTTCGATTGCAGGAATGGAGATTAGCCCATTATTCTCAGAGAAGAAAACCCCAGGAAGCATCAGGCATTGTGAATTTCCATTAAAACAGTGCATTTCACTCAATATATATATTTTTCATACTTAACCAGAGCTGCATAAAACCGTAAATCAATTGCATTTCCAGCTTTGTTATGTTTAAGCATCTTTGTCATTCATTAAACAGGCAGAAAGGAGCAGAAAAAACCACCTCCTGCAGCAGCAAAGTCCGAGAAAGGTGACGTTTAAGGGTTTTCTTTTCTTCTTTCATTTCTTTTCGGACTGGGGACAGTTCTAAGCTGCTCAATGATCAGCCTTATTCAATTCCATAAAATAATTTTGTAAAAATGCTTCCAAATTTCTAATAGAAAAGTGGTTTTGTTTGAGTGTCTTTTGTCTGTAATTTGTCACGCATGCTAATGTCACCTGGGTGGGGAGCCTTACCAATGATCCAGACAATGAAGACCATCTTCCTTCTGAAATACTAGGAAATTGCCTTTAATCACAGTTTTCACTTCAAACCGAAGTGGAAGAAAGTGAATCCATCTCCCCTCTGCTGATGGTCTGCAGTAGGAGTAGCGAGTGGGCCCTGGGACCGGACAGATCAACCCCATAAAGGCAGGCAGTGTGTGGGGAAGGGGCTGCACACCCAGATTGCTTATCCTGTGCTTGCCTCCCTCTGTCTACAAACTTCAGGTGAGCAGCCAAAGTCTGGAGACAGAAGCGGTTACAGCAGTCCCGGCTCCCCCGGGACTCCAGGCAGCCGTTCCCGCACTCCCTCTCTGCCCACCCCACCAGCCAGGGAGCCCAAGAAGGTGGCAGTGGTTCGCACACCACCGAAATCTCCTGCATCTGCCAAGAGCCGCATCCAGCCGTCAGCCGCACCCATGCCTGATCTGAAAAATGTGAAGTCCAAAATTGGCTCAACTGAAAACCTGAAGCACCAGCCCGGAGGTGGCAAGGTAAATGTGGACTCTGCTTTCCAGGGGCCTGTCCGTAGGGAGAGCGGGTACTTGACGCTGCATCTGGGAGGGGAGAGCCTTCCCTGGATCAGCAGCAGCCCAGCTGGGGCCAGAGATACGGCAGTGGGCAGCCATGCTTCAGCTCATCTCCAGCCTGATTCTGATTTTGGAGTTTTTTGGGCTGATTGGGTTGGGTGCTTGTCCTGAAATTGCTTGCCTGGCTTAGTGCAGTTCAGCTGTTCCGCAGAGAGGACCGCAGAGGGCTTGTGATGTGGCTTTCATGGGGTGACATGTCAATGTATGGACTGGCTGCCAGGGGAATGACGTGGTGTCCAGTTAGGGAGAGCAAATCGTAACCTGCAGCCCTATAGAGTCGCAGGATCAGGGTTGTATTTCTGAATCCTATCCTGTGTGATCTGGAGCAGTCCATTCAACGCTGCCTCCGTTTCTTCATTAGCGAGCCGACAGGACGGTCTCCTCCCTGCGAGGGTCCCAGGCTTGGCACGTTTTTCAGAACGTTGTGATTTTGGATCCAGCTCTGTTGGCAAGGTTTTGGATTGCGTTCTGCGATCGGGCCCTGTCTTGCTACGTGATGCAGTGTGGCACGGCCAGAACTGGTGGCACTATGATCCTTTCAACCACTAGTACTTCTCACTCCCAGAGGGGCTGTTCTGTGAGCAGCAAAGTGAACTCCGTGCTCCAAAGTGCTTGGGAACGAGGGTCTCGTGAAATTTTGCAAGCCCAGCAGAGGAGAGTTTGGGTGAGGGAGTGGTGTGAGCTAATTCATCCGTGCAGCCCCAAGAGCAGCAGTGTGTGGTTACATGGCTCCAGCTGTGGTGTTGGCTGCTCAGCACCCATCCGAGCCTCTCTGCACTGCTCCGTTGCACTGTGTGGATGTTTCCTCAGGCTTTTATAAAATCCTCTTTGCTGCATGAGTGGAGACATGAAAGCACTTGGTTCCTCTGACTGGTGAAGGCCCGGTGGCTCTTACACAGATGTTAAATGCCAGAACTGCACATCTGATGGCCAGTGCAGTCAGGAGTCCCCGTGTGCTTGTGCTTGCCTGCCCTGGGGGGGAACAGTGCCTTGCAGACCTTGCTCTGCGGCCGCTAATGCAACAGAGCCGTGACAAATCTTCCCCGAGTGCGGTGCATGCCATTTTGTGTGACTAGGTAACTCCGTGGCTCTGAACGTTCGCCTTTGGCATGGGGGGAGGCTTTGAGATGGCTTCTCTTCACCATCTTAAATAGCAGCGTGCTTTTCCGTTTCCTTAGGTGCATTTTTTGCCGTGGCTGGCGATTTACTGGACAATGCCCATTTTGCTTTGTACTACAATGCAGGGGGGCTCTGGAGCCCAGGCAGGGCTGCTCTGGCCATTGGTTATGAGCAGAGCAGCGTGAGTCCTTCCAGCTGCCCGTGTCCCGGGGCCTCAGCCCTCCTGCCTGCTTAGCACAAGGTGTAAGTTCTTCCCACCACCCCACAAAACACTGCTTTTCAGCAATTTTAGAAGGAACCCTTCTGTTTACTGTAAATTGGTTAAATTGTTTGCTTGTTCTTTTTAATTTTTTACAAGTTTTTTTTTTTCTCTGTCAGCTTCTCTCTCAGGCAACATGTTTATTGTTGTCACTGAAGGAGTAAGAACAGCTGAATTTGGGACAATTCATTGCTCTTTGCAGGGGAGAATGGCTGGATGCTCTGTTGGGGATTTTGTAGGACACGAGGCTGCTCTTAGCAGAACGGTTGTGGCTGGGGCAGAAGGGGCTGATCCAGTGAGTTTGATTTTAGGGTGGCCAGAAGATGAGTCTGGAGCCTGCTCTCCGTGCAGATTTCAGACCCCCAGCCTAGGGAAGCAAGGGGCACAGGCGCCAGGAGTCAGCCAGGCCCGATCTCGTCCAGTGTTTCTGCATTGTCTGAGCACTTTTGTTGTTGCTGGATCACCGAGTGCTGCTCTGGCAAAGCCTGGTCTAGCAGAACTGGATCCTGATTTGCAGGATTAGTTGATGTGAACTTGGAAAATGATGCTGGAGGCATGTGTCAGCCTTGGCGCTTCTCATGCTGAAGAACCAGGGTATAGCGAGGAGCAATCCTTGCAGCAGCAGGCCGGGGACATGGTGAAATGGAGGGGGAGGTTGCCTGCTCAGCCAGCTTCGTGGATGTTGCCATCCAGGGACTGCATGTGCAGCGTGATGTGACGCTGCTTTCTTGCAGGATGCTGTATCTTTTTTCCTCTCGTGAGGATTGTGCAGGCTTTCTCCTGAGGGAGCACAGGCCTGTGTGCCTGCTGGTTTTTACCTGCATTTACCTCTGGTTTATACTTGTGTAGGTTGTAAAGCCACTCCAGGCCATGTAGGGGAAGGAGCAGACTATCTTCATCTTTGTCTTGTCTAGAATAGCTGCTCCTATGCATGGGGCCACTCCAGCATAGCTGCCCTTATAAAACCCAAATAGGGAAAACAAGCCCTAAAGGGAAACAGCTTAATTCATTAGTACAAAAATCTGTGTGTGTGGGGAGAGGGCAGACAGGCTTTGGGACTGGAGGATGAAGTTGGCATGGTATGCGGTTCCCCTGTGGCACCAAGCCATTTCCAGCCTCTCTCCCACCCGAGATGGCGTTAGGAATATGCAATAGAGCAGCTGCCTTTGGGGTTGGTCTGTGCTGCCCCTTTCATCTCATCTATACAGGAGTTAAGAAAACTGCAGGCATGGGACTGCCTCCCTGGCAGCATTTGCTTTTTCTCTTTGTAACTGTAGAGGGAGTTTGAGCCCTGCACAGCGCAGAGCTCGGGCGTCCTCTCCCAGGCAGTGCTGGACACACAACTCCTGCTCTCCAGCCTGCTGCCCCGGCCAGCTGTACCCATTTGCCCAGTTTGCTCAAGCTGCTGAAATGTGAGGCCACATATCTCTGCCCTCGAGAGGAGGCATGCTGCCCAGCGTGGCAGATGGGGCCGAGCAGGCATTTTTCTCTCGGCTCCATCCTTCCTTCTTCCACGGGCTCTGCAGAAGCCGAGTCTCAGACCACTGGTGCCTTCCAGCGTGTTTGCTGCCCAGCAAGTTCCCCGTTTTGTTCAGCGAAAGAAAACGGTGTGGGCTGGCTTTTTTGCTGGTGTTTCTGGCCTGGAAACCAGGACTGCCTTGCTAGCCAGATGTATCCCATCTCTAGCTATAACCTGCTCACCTCCATCTTCAGTTTCCAACCCATGAGTAGACAAATCTATGCAGCAAGCCAGAGATTCTCCTTTGCTCTTGGCACTGGAAGGCAGGTTCCTGGTTTTAGTGATGTAACGCATGGTCAAGCTGCAGATGGTCATGTTGTTTCTCACGCTCTTTTCTGGCTACCAAAGGTGCAGATTATTAATAAGAAGCTGGACTTTAGCAGCGTTCAATCCAAGTGTGGCTCAAAGGATAATATCAAACACATCCCAGGAGGAGGCAGTGTGAGTACCTTCACACTTTCAATGCACTGTAATAGTTCTTATAATAAGTGGCATGTTGTATACACTAAACTGCCAATGCTATCTGCAGCGACCCTGCCGTCAGATAGCTATTGGTGACGTGCAATGACTCTTTTCTGGCTACCAAAGGTGCAGATTGTTAATAAGAAGTTGGACTTTAGCAGCGTTCAATCCAGGTGTGGCTCAAAGGATAATATCAAACACATCCCGGGAGGAGGCAGTGTGAGTACCTTCACACTTTCAATGCACTGTAATAGTTCTTATTAGTGGCATGTTGTATACACTAAATCGCCAATGCTATCTGCAGCGACCCTGCTGTCAGATAGCGATTGGTGACATGCTGTCATTTAACCCCATTAACCCAAAAGACATGGTTAGATGAACCCTAACGAGTCCTGTACATGCCTGCCATGGACAGAACTAACTGACGCGTGTAGAAGCCATGTCTGTAACAAAACATCCTGTTAACCCAAAGGTTTTACACTACCTGGAGGGCTTAATGCCTCATTGTCTGCAGGATGGGTGGCCTCTAGCAGACAGTGACGTAGTTGCTGATGCAGTAGATGGATAGATTTATAAGCAAACGCAATCCTCGTTGCTTAAGGTACTGCTAAATTGCACATGACTCTGCACAACATATGAAAGTGCGGGTTCCTGCCCATTCCCATCAGGCAAGTATGATCCATGCAAATATTAAGCTTCTCCTTGCTAATGAATGTGTCCGGTGTATGTTAGGCAGTGCCCATGGAGGCTGAGCCTAAAGTAATGATTGAGTTAATTGATCTGAATGCTGGCATTTCCAGCCATTCCCAGATAAATAGCCGGACTCAGCTTTTAGTTACTGTGCCAGAAACCTGCAGAAACTCCACAGAGGTTGGCAGTTTTACACCAGTCTCTCTGGAGACAGAGTTTGGGTCCAGGAAAGATGATGGACCAAGGAAGGAGCATCACTGAGACCCCAAACAGTGCGACCCAGGGTCTGCGGTTGCCTGGCCTGCAGCCATCTGAGGAAGCTATCTGGTGCCCCTCAGATGTTGCCGATGGATTTTCTTTGTGCTGTTTTTGATCTCGGTGGACGCCCTCCCTGAGAAACTGAGCATTGCAGAGGGCTTGGCACGTAAGCATTGGGACATAACTGGGGTTGCAACCTCCGTCTTAAATTTGATGTCATTCTGCATTTATTTAATGGGCCAGAGGAGCTGCTTTGAGGAGGTCAGACCTCTGTGGAGCAGGTTCCAGGCTTGTTCTGCTCTTTCTTACCCCAGGGTCCTGCACTGGCTGGACTGCCTGGTGTGTGGAGGACCAGTTGTTACGCCAGGAGTTAGTGTTTGTCACAAATCGTCTGTGCTGTGGCTGCTAATTAGCTTCAGCACAGGGTGGTGAGCTCATCCTTTTCTCCACTGAGAGCTCAAACCATGGACAAGCATTCGCAGCTGCAGTGGCTGCAGTGGGTTAAGAATTATCTGGATTTTTGGCTGGAGGTTGTCATCCCTCCCCAGGCTCTGCCAGCACTGAAAATCGTGTGATCGCTGCCGGCTGCGTTGACACGGAAAGCAGCAGCTTAGCTCTGGGTGTGGGTGCTCGGAGCAAAGCCATGTGCTGACATGGCCAGAGCGTGGCTGCACAGGCTGTCCTGGTGGCAGAGCTGTGCCTTGGGGCTCCTCCAGTGGAGGGGCAACAAGAGACCACCGGGGTTTGATGGCCGTCATGGCTTAATCCTCCACGATGCTGTCAGCAGTGACTGCCTGCCCAGCCATTGCTGCTTCAGGAGGAATGAACTGTTGCTACAGTAACCTGGGGTTGGTATCTATTTTTTAAGCCAGTGGATCCTCTGACAAGGTGATGCATTAGGCAAAAGTTGACCTAAGCATTGCTGATGCTGAGGGGTGGGATCCCCAGGTCTCTGGCACTGGTTTCCCAGGCAAGCAACTCTGTGCCCCTTTTCCTTTCTTGCCAAAATGGGGAGGACCCTTCTCTGTGCCCCAGCAGGATGGTAAGGGTTAATGGAGTCTTGTCTGTGAAAAAAAGGGAAGTGGGATGAGAGCAGAAAGTGTTTCAATTGCGGATTGCTTGCTCTGGAAATGGGAGGTCTTTCAGTCCCAGCTCCCAGCGGTGCCCGAATTGCTCATAGACCCTTTGGGGTCACGGCTGGGATTAGAGAGGAGCCAGCTGTCCTTTTGGGGTCTGCTTCCTGCCTTCCAGCTGAATCTAGCTCTCCTCCTGCCCAGTACCTTAAACGTGTGATCTTTCCCCAGTGCTGTCTTCATGTCTGTGTCTGTGATGTGCTCCCAGACCCTAGGGTTGCTTTTCTCCCCTCACTCTGTCTCCACTCTCTGTCAAATGTGCCTTTTGGTATGCGTGAGCATCGGAGACAAGGCAGGCCCGTGTGCACAGTGCTCTGGCTCCGTGCTGGTGGGACAGTGGTACCGAGCCTCTGTTCCCCCCTCCTTTTCCTGGCTGCATGATGGAGGGGGGAGTGTTTCTCAGTGGTGTGCAGAACCACGGTCCAACACCTAGCTCTGAGGGTGACGGGGCCGCTGGACATGGGGCCAACGCGCAGGAACCGAAGGATGGACCTTCACCCCAGGGCTTTTGAGTCAGCACAGGGCGCTCAGGTTGATGGAGAGCAGTGGCTACAGTGAATCCTTTGTGCTGGCTTTCGGCCACGTTGGTCCAGAGGCTGCCTGGCTGCTTGGAGGAGTCAGCTCCTCTGCAAAGGTCCCTTTGGTGCTGGCACATCCTTCCTGAGATTTGTGAGAGCAGCATGCCTGCCGTGGTGCTTGGTGAAAGCACAGAGAGCAGCATACTCTCACCTTGAAATCCAGGCTATTGCTGAGAGCCAGACGCTTCCCAGTGAGTAGGAACCAACCTTGAGGTGTTGATGATTCGATTTCTCCTGCACAGCCCCACTAACTACAGCAACAGCTGATGCACACACAGGTGTGAGTCCAAAACCAGAGTCCAAGGTAACTTCTAGGGGTATGGGGATGTGTTCGCACCCCCTTGTCTCCTGCTCCTGATGTAGCTGGTGTGCGTGTGCTGTGGTTTGCCGTCCCTGACACGCCTGATGGTCCCAGACCTCTCCAGTCGTCGGTGTTTTCCAGTGTGGTGTTTAACCGCTAACGTAACCACTAAACAGCTCCATGTTAACCATTCCTTGTGTGTGCGTCTCGTGTAACCTGGTTGTCCGTGCGCAAGAGGCCACCGGCCCCATGCCCAGGCGTGCCACAGCGCCGTGGCTGGTATTTGAATGGGGCGGTTTAAGTGGAATTGCTGGAGCCCATGTTCAGAGACGTAATGGGTAAAATGAATAAAAAACAGAGCATAGTATCATGAAATAATGTTGTTCAATATATTATAATTGCCATTTTAATTTATATTATGTTAAAAAAGACTTTGCCTTTTTTTTTTTTAACCCTTATTTCCGTTACAGCATTTTTCAGAAATGCATATTTTGGTCACTCTTTTTAAAGTTCTGTGCACATTGATCATTTCTGTTCTTTCAGTTTTTGTGGACATAAGCTTTATGTTTTACACCAGAAAAGGTATTTATTTTTTATGTTTTCTCTCTGGTATATCTCCTCCTTTTGGATGATGTGTATGCAAATCTTAATTAATTACCACTCCACTTTCTCTCTCACTTAAGCACCTTAAAATTGCCTCTACTTCCCCCCTCTGTGGAGCGGTGATCTTGTGCATGCTGACATGTTAAGAGAGGCTACTGCACACGGGCATTAATGATCTCCCATTTCTGATGACGGTTTCTTTTGTATTATTAATCTTACTGGGGTTTAAGCTGTCCTTTCCCTTGAATCCAGATCAGGTGCCGGTGTGTGTTGTGCCTCCCCCTCCCCAGATTGCCCGTGGTGGTAATAAGCTCATCGCCTTTTCCTTTCTTGTACGGACAGGTTCAAATCGTTTACAAGCCAGTCGACCTGAGCCATGTGACATCCAAATGTGGTTCCCTGGGCAACATCCATCACAAACCAGGTACCCTTTGCCTCTGCAGCATCCAGCAGCACCGGGTGCTGGTCCTTGGGAGCTCACAGGCTGCGTCGTGGTGTGCAGCCGGAGATGGGGAGAGGGTTGGGGTAGCACAGGGAGCGAGGGGAGGCACGTGGGATAGTGACTGGAGCATCAGAACGAGCTCTGGAGTGCTGGATGCTGTTACCAGTTCTGTCGCTGCAAGACCCTCTCCAGTTTGCCTGACCCTTCGGTGGTAGGGGAGGGATCTGGTCTGGATTGTCGACACCCTTGTCTGTGCCAACACATCACTGTAAATGGGAAGTATTTAGGAATAAATCGGGGGAACTGCTGGTGTTTAGGGGAGTAAGCTTAGCTCCCTTCTATAAAGGCTCTATAAAACATTGGGATGTCTGCCAGCTCCGCAGCATCCTTTGGAAAGTCTCTTACTCTGGTTCCCACTTGCCTGGGCTCCTGGGTTTCCCAGATAGTCATGGGGTCCCTCTTGCTGCTGTTTTCCTGGTCCTCACCCTCTGCTCAGCCTCAGCAGTGCTTTGGTTGAGCCACCTCAGAGCGGCAGCTCAAACCTGAGCGCTTTCTCTCCAGCCTGCCCTGGCTGGCACAGGAGCTAACCCCACTCGTGCTCTTCTCTTCCAGGCGGTGGCCAGGTGGAGGTGAAATCTGAGAAACTGGACTTCAAAGATAAGGTGCAATCGAAAATCGGGTCCTTAGATAACATCAGCCACGTCCCTGGAGGAGGAAATAAAAAGGTAAAGGGGCACTGGGTCGAGAGCAGGCATGGTGTTCTGCTGCAAGTGTCTGTCTGCCCTGCGAGCAGGCACGCAAGCGAAGTGTGGTTGAAGTCTGGACTCGGAAGGTCCTGCTCACCCAGCTCATCTTTAGCCCAGGTGGCCTCTCCTCTCTGCTTACCAGGCAGCGCTTCTTCCCCAGTCCTTGAAACGATTTGCTGCCCGTGTTCTAGCGTGGGGTGGTCTGTGCACACTTGTCCTTCAGAGGACAAAAAGTGCCCTGCCCGGGGACGGGCCGCTCAGCCACTGCCCAAACAGCCAGCTCGTCTTGCTGCAGGTGGGCAGAGCCGAGGGCTCCTGGGCTGCATTTCCCAACCTGGGGGACATTTGCTGGAGCACAGCTGTGGCAGAGCTGCGAGGATGGCAGTCTCTGTCCCCTTCCTGGCCCATGGCCGCCTGAATGAGTGTGAATGTAAGCGATATCTTCTGTGGTTTCCTGCTCTTTCTGCTGTTCTCTGAAGTTCGTGCAGAAACGTGTTTGTGTCTCAAACCTTTCACATTAAGGGGTGCCACCGTCAGCAACTGCTTTTGCACTGCGTTGCCAGTTGCTCCCAGCGGTGTGGCACAAAGCTGGCAGCTCAGGGTGCTGCACAGGTGCTGGTTCCCCTGTGAAAGTGGAGCATTAAAAGCTTAGCTTGATTTAGAAAAGGTGACTTTGCAGTAGGCCATCACTGCAGAAGAAAGGTGATCTCTTCTTACTTCAAGTCTCAGTCTCTCAGCTGAGACTGACCGAGGACTCTGTGTAGGGAGTGGTGCGCGTTTGGGGGGATTTAAATTGAAAGACAAAAGTCAATCAATCACGTCGGGTGAAATACTGAACTTTGGGTGAGCCGGTCCTGCCAGAGGCTTTGATGGTTACTTCACAGTCTTAGCTAAGTAAAAAACCTCTACAACCTTGCTTTGAGGACAGCCAAGTCCCTTGCAGGCAGGGGAGCAGGGGGACCAGGTAAGCATGGAGTTGAGACCCCAGCCTGGTGACACGCATGGTTTAATTTCTCCAGGGAAAAGTGGGTTTTATCGTGCTTGTTTTTCAAATGTTTCTTTCTCAATGGGAGGGGAAAGTTCTGTTTCGGCTCCTCTATTTTGGCACTTTGTTCTTGGCCACGTTTTCTCTGTGCACCTCCCAGCTCTTCATCTCCCAGCGGTGCGCTGGCCTCGGACTGAGGGATCGCTTGACTTCCTTACCCTTCTCTCGCTGCTGCTACGCATCAGACTGCCCTGTGCTTCACTAAGCCCATTTTCATCGTTTTTATGATTACAATGATGATTCTTTCATGTCCTGGCATATTCACTGGGCCATAGTTTGAAGAACTTGCCCTTCGGAGGGGGAATTTACTTTCAAGGATATGACCCAGCAGCCGCATCACCTGCCTCAGCCTTCCTGTGTGGCAGTTGCCCATACCCTGCCTAAATCCGTACCTGGAGGAGGTTGTGGGCGTAAGTTGAGCTCAGACGCTGCCGCAGATTGCTTCCCTGGGCCAGCCCATTCCCATGCGCACCTTGACCATCCTCAGGCAGCGCTGCTCTGAGGTGGGACACTTCGCAGGGAGGGGACAGGACACAGTTGAGCCCCATCAGCCCTCCACATAGACCGGCTGTGGGCAGCTCTGCTGCCCCTTCCCCAGCCTTTCCCCATGTCCCCAGTCCTCTCCTTGCTCTGCGACACAAAAGATCCAGATTTGGACACACAGTCCACAGTTCTCCAGGCTGAACGCTGGTTCATGTGGCACTCTTGTATTGGGTCTCCCGTGGGGAGCCGGGGTGCTCTGTGCTCTGCCAAAGTACCTGTGCCGGCAGCATCTGCTCTCCTTTGCTGCACAGGGAAACCTTTCCTCCTCATCTCCAAAGGCAGCCACTGTTCTTCCTATGAGCCAGTGAATGGCCCTGGTTTTCAGATCTTTTTCTCTCCAATTTTCTATTTCTTTTCTTTATTTTTTGGCTTTTTCCTTCTGGTTGACATTTATTGGATCTTGGTTTTTGTTGCTGATGCGTTTTTTGCACCCCACCGCCCTGGGCGGGTTTCTTCACCTGTAGAGAGAGAAAGGCAAGGAAGACAAGACCTGTCCTCAGGCTGCTCGGACCCCGAGCCCAGACCCTGCTGGGCTCCAGGCCCTGGTGCTGGAGCCACCCACCCCCCCGGAGAGCCAGCTCCCAGCCTTGCACTCGGCTGGGGAGGGCACCAGTAAGTAGCAACCCCGATCTACTTCACCTCTCCTCCCTGGCCTTCGCGCTCGCCAGGAGAGAGCGGTTTGGCTTGTGGGAGCAGCGTTTTGAGACCAGCTGGGCCGTGGGTTAAGGGGAAGCCTTGTGCAGGGACCCCCCCCCCTCTCTGTAAATCTCTGCAGGGGAGTGGGAGCAGCCCAGGTTGTGCCGTCTGAGTCCTGTGCCTGGGACCCACCGCCACACTGGGCCTGGGCGCTTGGGAGGGATTTGGCAGCGTCCCGAGATGCTCCAGTCCTGCCATCCCCTCTGGTTGTGCCCATTCCCTCTGTGGGCTACTGGAAGGGATGTGCCCGAGGACTGGGGACACTGGGGGCGTCAGGCCAATGAACTGAGCTTTCCTCCCAGCTGCACACGGCAATGATCGAGCAGTTTGCAGGTAAAAATGGCCTCTCCGGATGATGTCCCGCATCCTCCCTGCTCACTGCCCTCTCCTCTCGTTGCAGATTGAGACTCATAAGCTGACTTTCCGCGAGAACGCCAAAGCCAAGACCGACCACGGCGCCGAAATCGTCTACAAGTCCCCCACTATCTCCGGAGATGCCTCCCCGCGCCGCCTTAGCAACGTCTCCTCCACCGGCAGCATCAATATGGTGGACTCCCCCCAGCTCGCCACGCTAGCCGACGAAGTGTCTGCTTCGCTGGCCAAGCAGGGCTTGTGATCGGGGCATGGCGGGCGAAGATGAGAGAAGACAAGGGGAAAAAAAAAAGAAAAGAAACAAAAATAATAATCTGGCCTTCTTCCTCTGTTCCTTTTACAGCTGCTTCCCCATCCCCTAACTGGTTAATGATTTAACCTGCTTTTACTGTTCATTCAGCTCTAGCTCCAGGACTTCAAAATCAGTGACACTATGAGGTACAAAACCTCCTCTCCCCCTGCTCCTCGGAGCGCACAGCCCGTGCCTGTCCCCCGCTCCCTCCCCTCGTCCCCCCGCGAGGTCCCTCACTGCCCCGGCCCTGCCTGGGGCCCCCTGCCCTGGCAGGGATGCCCACCGCCCCGGGAAAGTGGGGAGGGGGAGGGAGGGGGCAGCTGCAGCAGGCCGCTGACCCGAGCACCCCGCACCGCAGCACAGGGCAGCGGGAGGTCCTCACGGGAAGGGGCTGTGACCTTCCCACGCTCGTTACCCTAACGATGCCTGGGCTGGAGGCCTGGCGTGCAGGCAGCACAGGTAGTGGGTGCTGCAGCCAGGGACTGCAGGGAGGTGCCCTCCCTTTCTGCATTAAATTTGCCTGCTGATTTGGAAGAAACCTTTTGTTTTTACCTCCGAAAGCCGAGATGTGTATGAAGATAACTGCCAGCTATCCCCTAAACCCGCTCTCAGCTCCGGCAGCTGGAGTGCTGGCGACGCCAGGGTATCCCATTGCGGAAGGGGCCCTGGACGGCCGTTCCCCTCTCCGTGGCTGTGCTGGAACCGCTGAGTGGATGAGTAGAGGCTTTTCCCCTTTCCTTTGGCAGCCCCTCGTGTCGTAGAGTAGATTTGTCTGTATATGCTTGGACCGTGCCAGGGTGATTGTTTTCATAAACGAGCATGTGTTTAAAAAAAAAAAAATTATGCTGTAAGTAGTTTTGAGCTGCCCCGTGCCAGCTCCGCCGCAGCCCAGCGAGGAGGGCCCGAGGGGGGGAGCTTTGCCGAGCTCCAGGCCGTGCCCAGACCCGGTGCCGCTGGGGCAGCCGGGCACCGCATGTCTGCCGGGCACAGGGGTGGGCGCAGGGCCACTGCCCTGCTCCCTGGGGAGGGCTGGGGTGGGCCGCGCCGGGGCTTCCCGGCTCTCTGCTCCCAGGGCCTGGGGGTGCTGCATGAGGGGCACTCGCGGCTCCAGGGCTGGGATGGCCCCTGGATTTGGGTGCAGCTTGTAACATTTTTGGGTTGTTCTTTTTTATTTCCCTGCAAGGTCAGCTAAGAGATCGCGGAAGTGGCAGCTCCATGGCTCTGCTGTTCTCGTGCCGTTGGCAGCGGTAGGAGACAACTGGGAGGACGCGAGGGGAAGGCGCGAGGGAGGTTTTTTTTTTTAGCTGGTGCATGGTGGCAGCGTCCCCAGGTCCCAGCCTGCGCTCAGGGGCCGGAGGCTGCTCCCTGGCACCGAACCCCCGTCTCCACTGCGCTCTCCTGGTGTGTTCGCAGCGTGTTACCCCCACGGCGTCCCCTCCGCGCAGCACTAACCATCCCCAGCACCACGCAGGGGACACGAGCTAGTCTGGGTCTTTCTTTGCTGCTTTTGTTCCTGTGGCAACCTGGGGAGCGTGAGGGGGTGGCCTGGGGCTGTGCTGCACCCGTGGGCCTCCCCACGCGCCCCTTCCTTCTACAACCAAAGAGGCTGAGATGCGACCAGTGCAGCTCAGTGCGCGTCCTCCCTCCCCGTCTCCCCCGAGAGGCTCCAGCCGCGCTGCGGGGGTAGAGCTGGCAGCGGCGGCGCGGGCGGGGGGTGCCCAGCGGGGCCGCGGGCTGTGCACCCCACGGGCCGTGCTGCAGGGAAAGCCGTGCTTTCCCAGCAAGGGGCTGACATCCCGGTCCGACTGGGACGGCGGGGGACGGGGAGGCCCTCGCTGGGGCGTGGGGCACCGCTCGGCCTTGGGCTGAGGCTGGGTGCCACCCAGGCTGCTGCAGCGGCTGCTGATGGGGCAGAGCAGCAGCTCCTCCCTGGGCAGGCCCCGTGCCCACCCTCAGCGGGAGCCCCCCACCCTGCCGCGCCGCCGCGGCCTTTGCACGCTCCGCGTGGGCTCCACCGGGTTTTTCTGCGCGGTGCTGGGCATCAGCCCCAGCCGGAGGCCTGGGAAGGCGCCTGTCCAGCGCCGGAGGAGGACGGTTGTGTCGGGGGGGGGGTGGCGGGGGGGGGGGGCTCCACTGGGGCCGGGGGGGGGGGGGTTGAAGGGGGTTTGGGGGGGCTGGGGGGGCCTGGGGCCAGGCTGAGGGGGCCACCCCGGGGAGCCGCTTCACTGCTGGGGAGAGGCTGGAGCAGCACCCACGCAAACAGGTCAAGGGAAAGCCCGCGTCCAGCTTGTCGCTCGCTCCGTTTCAGTTGACTCTATGATTGTAAGCCGCTGTACTCTGTGACTCTGTATCGGTGTAGGATGTAGGAGCCGCTGCGGTATTTTTGTCCTCTGTAAAACGAGCAAGTGGGAGAACCACCGACCGCCAGGCACCCCTTTTCACCCTTTCTGGCGGCAGGCCGGAGCGTGGCTGAGCGTGCCCGTCCCGGCGCTGCCCCGAGCCCCGGCCCCTCTGCAGGGCCGCGGTGAGCTCCAGCGAGCAGCCCCTTCCCGCTGCGGGGGTCCTTGGCCCCCTCTGCCCTCCTCCTCACCCCCGGGGGGCTCCGGGGGTCCCAGGACAGCCCTGTCCATCCACCGCAGCCCCCGCCGCCCGCTCCCAGCAGCCCGAGCCACGTCCCCAGCCCCGACCCCGCGTTCAGACCCAGGCCTGAGGGTTACCATGAGCAGCCGGACAGACTGGCCCATGGCTTTTCCTTTACTCCACACACATCTTGGTCTGAAAAGGGTTAAAACCGGCACTGATTTAAAAAAAAAAACAAACATGTTTCTGCACTCAAAAAAAAATAATATGCTTGTTAATAATCTGAACTTTCAGTGTCAGCCTGCCGGTGGTGCTGGCAGCCCCGTGTTCCCCGCGGTGCGCTGGGGAGGGGAGGGAAGGTTTGATCTCGGTGTATCATTCTAGCTTAGCTTCTGTCTGTGGGTGTCCATAGTGTATCGTGCGTTTTAACAACTGGTTTACACTGTTGCCGTAAAAGTGAATTTGGAAATAAAGTTCATTACTATGATAAACGCCGCCTCTGTCGCACGGCGGGGAGGGAGGGAGCTGGGACCAGGCCCCCGCGGGATCGCCGGTCCCCCGGCAGCCGTGCCGGCACACCAGGGCCACCGGACAGCTACCGGGCAGCGGTAAAGATGGGCAGGGACTGTTTTTCTCTTCTTTCTTCCCTTGTTAAGTACCAGCCACCACCGCACCAGCGCAGACAGGGCAGAGGCCCTGCAGCCAGGAAGCCCAAGTTCTATTTTTGGCTCGCAGGACATTTTCTCAGCTGCAGGGCGAGACCGAAGGCAGCTCTGCCCCCGCAGCACGGGGGCTGGTCAGAGGCTGCTTCCAACCACGGCGCTGCCCGATTCCCCTTCCCCGGTTCCAGCCCGGTGCAGCCCCAGATCCCCGGTTACCGGCCCTTCGGCGGCCACAGCGCCGCACCGCCAGCCCGTGGCTCCGCGCCTTCCCCGGGGCACGGCCGCCCCGTGCAGGTCGGGAGCTTCCAGCTGCTGGCGCAGCCGCCGTCCGCTTCTCAGATTGGCTTTTCCCTCCCCGGTGAATGACTTGTAACGAACCGGCGGGGCGCAGGGCGGCGTGGCTGATCACCACCCCGCGCCGCCCTCCTTCCCCTCCCCTCGGTACCGAGGAACAAAGTAGAATTTTCTCGGAAATTTAGGAGCACCCAAGGAAGTCGCCTCCCACCACCTGCCTCTCGCGAACACCCACCCTTCCCAGCGCAACCCGCCCCGAGCGCAAGGATTTGCGCCAGCAGAACGCGGCTGCGGGTCAGCAGCGAGCGGTTAACCCCGAGAACGTAAACCAGAACCCCCGGCCCGCGCGGGGCGGGACGGAGCGACGCGAGCCCCGGTCCCGCTCCATCCCGTAACCCAGCGCAAAGCCCAAATCCCGAGATCCCGGCGAACAATTCCTCTTTTCACCGACCGTAACCGCTGGGAAATCACGCTGCAAAGGGAAAAAAAGAGGCCATTCAAGCGCGGGGCGGGAGGGAAGCGGCTGAGCCCCTGCCCCTTCCCAGCCCAGCGCTTCACAAACGCGCCTTGCGTAGAATATTCTGTTTTAATTTTTTTTTTTAATATTTTCTTCTTTTTTTTTTTTATAAGCACATTTGTGCTTTGCCAACAGAATCAAGACATTAACAAAGATCAGCTTCTCGGAAGAAAAGCATTTCTATATAACAAGGACATTACACAGCTCAAAGCAGGAAAAGAAAATATTTACAAAATACAAGGTGGTTTTTTTTTTTTGTGGTTTTTATAATGCTAAAAGGGTTATTCAGAATTTTCAACCTTATAAATAGAAAAGCACTTATGCAGAGGGATATGGTAGCGTCGTCTTTTTTTCTTTTTTTTTAAAGAAATGATGACAAATCCTTTAAACTAGAACAGAACCAAAACCACTAGATAATGTTGAAAATTGTGAAAACCCCAACCATTAAGCAGTTTAGCTACTATTTCTTTACGATTACAAAATGGAAAAAAAAAAAAAAAAAAAAAGTCCTTTGTATTTTTTTTTTTTCCTTTTTTTTTGGTGATGTGATTATACATAAGACAGGCACAACGCTAGCAACAGGACAGGGACCAATAGCCACACCGTCGGGATCGGAAAGCGTTACAGGTGGGAACGGTGTGCGGGATCCGGGAGTCACTGCGGGTGCGGGAGGGAGGGAGAGGAGGAACAACAGCGAACTCGGTTTCAAAATAAAATACCTGTCCGGAGGCGGCACGTCGGACCGGCGCCTGGGAAATGAAAGAGGAGCGACACCCGTTCTGGGAGCGCGCGGGAGCGGAGCGAAGCCGTGGTGACGGATCCCGATCCCCCCAGCGCCTCGGCGCGGTGGCAGCCGCCCGCCCTCCTTCCCGCTCTCTTCTTTCCCCTTTTCGGGGACC